AGCTAATGTCAAATGCTATCTCTCAGAGACAGTATTGGGCTTACAATGGAGTCAAGCTGAAGATATTAACGTTTCTTAAGATTAGTTAGATTTCAGATAACTATTATTTGAAAGCAATAATATTACGTTGAACCAAAACATCATGCAATCCCCGATCTTAGATGACAAGCACATCTAGAAATAAACAAAATTAAAGATGAACAAAAACTGCCTCAGGTAGCTATAAGTGAACCGAATAAATGAACAAGTACAATGTTAGTGTCCTTCCCGATTTACATTTACAGCAAACAAAGCACTGCAGGCTTTAGTTTTCCACTGCAGCGATAGAGAACTTGAATCAAACTCCAGGGAAAGTCAGAGAGGAATACCGGGAAGTGATTCCTGCTGAAGGAGGGAACACCTTTTGGGTGGCTGACTTTTGTTTTTAGACATGGGAGAGTAATAAGGACGGTTATATAAGAGCAAGAGGAACAGGTGAGAGGATGCTGACTGTAAGGATGGATTAAAAAAGGAAAAGGACGAAGAGAGGAGAGGAGAAGGAAGTAAAAGGTAGATGGAAGAGGGTAAGGGAGTCAGGAAGGAAGGAAGGAAGGAAGGAAGGAAGGAAGGAAGGAAGGAAGGAAGGAAGGAAGGAAGGAAGGAAAAGGAGAACATGGGGAGAGAAAGTGGAAGGGAACGAACAGGAAGTAAAGGACAAACAGGAAAATTAGGAAAAAAGGATAAGGGAAAAGATAAGTGATGAGGCGAGGGAAAGTGAAAGAAAAAAGGAAAGGAAAGAAGGGTAAAGGATAAGGAGAAAGGGAAGTAAAGGGGGAAGAGGGTAGGGGAGAGGAAGAGGGGAAGAGGGAAGAAGGACAGAAAATTAAAGAAAAAAAGGAGAGAAAGAAGACAGTTAAGAGGAAGGAACATTAGTGATGTGAGGAAAGGAAGATAAGGAGGGCACATGGAGGTAAATGAGAAGGGAATTGGAAATTAGAGGATCCAGGAAAATAATGTGTAGAAGAGGAAAGAAAATAGGTGAAGATAGCGGAGGGAAAAGATGGGAGAAAGGAGAGAATACATGGGAGGAAAGAAGAAGATGAAAAGGGGAAGAGGAGATAAGAGAGGATGTTCGCTTTAAAACTGAACCGTAAATAGTACGGCAAGTGGCGGCTGTGGAAAATATTTTTGGAGGGACTATGGGAAGAGGGACCAAACCATACTAGGGGCGGTCCGGGGGGATTCTCCCCCGGAAGACATTTTTGAGAAATGACCCCTTAAATTATCTGGTGATGTTAGAGGGGGGGGGGGGGGGGGGGACAAATTGAGATAATCCATAATCCTCAGTGTGGTTAGTTATGAATCTACCAAAATTGTGCAACAGTACAGTAGACCCACACAAACTGCAGAACACTGGTGCTTTGGGAACACTCAAATGATTTAATTCCCATTTAAAATCAGGAGACTAAATAACATTGTGTGTGTGTGTGTGTGTGTGTCATGCTTGCCAGCCCTCCCGATTTTCGCGGGAGGAGACTCCCGATTTCATTGCCCTGTCCCAAATCAGATTTACTCACGACTGTTTCCACTCGGACTTTAATACAGCTACACCATTGTTTGGTTTTCATGGTAGCGCGTCTCTAGCAGCGCGCGCAACTCAAAGTCTGAGAGGGTGAGGAAGATGAAAACTGAACAAGAATCGACAACTCGACCCTCTGCTCACTCTTTTCCTGTAAAACACAGATCCAGCCCACACATATGCTCCATGGTGCTACATGGCATTGCCCTTACAACTACAATAAGCATGTAAATGTTAATCTACAGCTCCGGCGATCCACTAGCACCGGAGTCTCCTGCAGACGCAGCCATCCTCGACAACTACTGTAGCGTCACCTTGGATACGAGTCCAAACAACTCACAGACACACAGGCCAGGGCGCTGACAGGGCGCCCTTTGAGCATCAGATCTGACGACGCTGATTGGCTGAAATTATGTTTTGGTGGCATAGTTTACAGATAGCAACAGTCAGCTTGTTGGCTGCTGCTGCTCTGGCTGAGGGCTCCTTTCTACCGCCCGGACGAGAGAGGGTAATGATACACGCTGCGGCCAGGCAGGAAACATGTGACTTATCAGTAACTTTAGACATCGTAAAACAATTTTAAACGAGATTTTATTGTAGATTATACATTTTACTGATACCAACTAGGCCTATATAATATTTACCTTGTTCATTAAAAAAAAAATATATATATATATATATTTTAAATATATTTTTTATTTGTAATGACAATCAAACATGTGGGAAGAGGGGGGGGCGGCGCCCCTATGGGCCGGCCGCCACTGAGAGAGAGAGAGAGAGAGAGAGAGAGAGAGAGAGAGAGAGAGAGAGAGAGAGAGAGAGAGAGAGAGAGAGAGAGAGAGAGAGAGAGAGAGAGAGAGAGAGAGAGAGACGCACAACAACACATAACAGCTGTTCATCTCCTCACAGCTCACTTCTCATTACTCCTACTTCATGTGTCTTTGTTTTCTTTCTTTCTTCATTTGATAATTGCGATTTTGTTATAATATATTGTTGTAAATTGATTAATGAATTGTATTTTTTTTCTTATCATTTCACTATTGAATTGTATTATCCATGACGCTTTTGCAATATTGTTCACCTGACATTTCAGCTTACATTTCAAGCTGAAATGTAATGTTTTTATCAGTAGTGGCTAACAAATACACTGAATTGTGTTTAGTTATACAAAATGGCTGATAAATATCACTTGTATTTTCTTGTCATGGATGTCGAAAGTGAGCCTCGGAGACTGGCTAATGTTTTGCAGGATACATCAGACAGTCAGGGCCCAGGGAATCATTTCCTGCACTTCCACTCAAAGAATGGCAGCATACCAGCCTCAATGACTCACAGTTGCCATATAAACCGGGCCATAATCATAAAACATAGTGCAGCCCTTTGTTTTCTGGTGAGGAGACGTGAAAAACACGGGCCTCCAGGACAAGTGCCGCTATAAAACTGACGCCAAAGACCCACAGATTGTGTTTGCTCATGGTATCCAAACTTAGACAAATACCCTCGTGATAACCTGGAGGGAGGAAGTTATTCAAACAGAGATAAATGCAAGAAGACGAACACACGCCAACACTGAAAAACACATTATTACTCTGAGTTATCTCAGTTCTAGCTAGCAGATGTGAGGTGGGGAGATCCACTGTTGGCATGCAGCGCCATCTAGTGGATTTCTATGATAAAGCAGGATCTAAAGGGGAGTGGGTTTCCAATAGGCTTTCCATTATGCAAAAATGTACAGGTCAAAGGTTACAGGTTAAAGCAGAGTCCAAACTTGTTCCACTGAGCGCCACATACAGAAAAACATACTGCAGGTATATTTCCACTTAAGTGAAGTTATGAGTTAGCCAAATCAATCAAATGTAGGTCAATTATTCTTTATACTTGAATATGCTTCAAGAAAAGAAAACCAAAGCTTTCCATCGAGTTTTATTTATTTTATTTGCAGCTCCTTCCTTAAATCAGAGGCCTTGGATTGCTTATAATAAAGGGGAATATGAAGGGTATATTTCAAGCTATTTTTGCAAATATGTTTTTTTTTTTTAATCATTTAAGATTTGTTAGACAAAGTTCTCAACTTTAATTGACTGAATGTATCTGAAAAGTTGGCTTATTAACACATGAATACTGTGTAATATGTTTACATGTTCAGAAGTACAATATAAGACAAGCACAAGTTTCATTTGTGGGCCATATTCCATTATACTTTTTTTATTTGCTGAGGGCCGATTCAAAATGGTCCCCGGGCCGTAGTTTGGACACCCCAGGGTTAAAGTATTGGCCAGCTGTTTATTTTTTGTATTTAATGTGTGTTTTCATTATTGCACACTTAATGTAATTAGTATCATACTTTTATATTGTGTTCGCTGTAATTTAGGGCTGTGTCAGATAGTTAACAGATGTGTATCTTCAAGGTCAACTTTGATATTTTCACAGTTTTATCTTCAATATTTTTTATGATTATATATATATAATATTTTTTTTTTTAAAGTAATTTTTGTTATTACTGTCAAAATGCTGGCCCAACATGGGATAAATAATGAATATATCTAAAACCAGGCATTATACATGCATTTTCATATATTGCACTTAATTGACTTAAAGGTCCCATGACATGGCCATTTCTACTGATCATAATTCCATTGTTGAGGTCTACTAATAGATTTACGATGCTCCAAACTCACATTGGTTTCTCATACAGCATCTCTGTATAGTATGTGTATTCACTCTCAGTCCTACACAGCTTGTTGGAGCTCACCAGAGGCACGAAGCTATACCAGTATCCAACAAAGCAGTAACCTGCTGGCCAGCTTTATAACGTTGAACCCGTTCCTCTTTATCGCCAATGGGCCCCAGCTCTGCCCGGGCCGGGTGCAGACGAGCCAGCAGCAGGTGACCGGCTTCCTGCAGGAGGAGCTGCAGCAGGACGTCCCCACCGGCTGGAGGAAATTAGCAATATAGCTTTATCAAACACCTCTGACATTTAAATTAGATTTCATTTAAAAATTGATCCTAAGCATTAATTCAAATAAAACATACTAATTCCTCTGGGACACGTGTCATGTTACTGTAACTAATAACTCGTTGCTGTAACCTCCAAACTCCGCACAACATAAACCAGAAGTCTACTTACTTAACTCAGTTTATTTACAGAGCATTTGAAGAGCCATGTATGCAAAATGTTCTGCATTTACTAACACTATGTATGATTTCGATGCTTTTCTAAAATCCAGTGACTGTTTCTTGGATTAGTGGGAGAAACAATAAATCAAGCAGGTTTTTTTACGCCGCCCTCCTCTCAGAGTAAATGTAGTTGGTTATTAATTCTGACGGGACAAAAACCGATCTAAGCAACACCAAGTCGTCGATAATCCAAAAAGAGCGAGAAAAGAGGGCTTAAAAAAAAAGAACCCAACCTCTTTGGCCCGATAGAGAGTCTGTAATAGCCTTTGATCTTGAATTATTTTTATTTTGCCACCACAATGACCCAATCAATTCAATGCACTTGCAAAATCATCACAGATCAGAATCATGGGAAGAGCAGAAGCAGGGGAGACAAACTCAGAAGAAATCACGGTGATTGACAACTTTTTACCCGACGACAAAGCCTTCAAAAAAAAAAAAAAAACCCGTTCCTCAGCCCTCTATAAAACACTGACAAGAACTTTACCACCAACCGTCCGGATGTTGGGTTATGGTACTTGCCTTTTTAATGAAGGAACATTGAAAATAAAATGGAGAAGAGGCAACATAGATAGCATGGACACAGTTAAAAAAGAAAAAAAAGACATTTACAACACATCCTCGTAGTCTGCTGCTAACATGCTAACATAGGGACCCTTTAACAAACTATTTTCTACTTGTCTGAATGTGTTGGGAATGGCTTTCTTTAAGCATGTGGAAATAATCTGCTCACCCTCCCCAAACGTCACAAGACTCCTTGATCTAATTTTGAACATGATCAGATTTTTTGATAATCATAAAAATTCCTCGTTATAATTGGCCATCTAATCACTTCCATCAACCGATGTTAATAATGAAAAGATATACAAAATGACATCTGCTGGGGTTACTCTGACACCGAGCATGGACGACATGTTTTTAAATGTTAGCCGTTAAGTACAGAGGATCCTCTACCTGTACATTTGGCAGGTATACAGCAACCGTCTGCTAATTTAAATTTCAAATGCTGGAGTGAACCTCCTTGGGTTGTCTGTGGATAGCCGATTGGCACTGCATGTGAAGGAGGCGGTACTTCCTGGGTGGAAACCTTGAAATGTATTTGTCCAATTTTAGAAATAAGATACTGTGCGATACAAATATTCAGTTCTACCTCTGTGCTCGGTCGAAAGTGAGTAGATGCTAAGCTACAGAAGCTACATATCTAGTGTTGTGACGTGTTGGTGTGCACAGGAGTGGAAATCAAACTAACCTTCTCATTGGCTATTTTCCCAAAAAGAGTAAAGACAAAAATTCATCATTCGTGTTCAGCTTTCCCGTCTGCTAGTGAAGAGACATCGCACACTAAGCGTAGAAACAACACAACATGTCATCTCTCACAAAAGACATACAGATGTGTGGACAAATAATGCATGTGTTAAAAGAAGAACAGCTTTAATGCATGTATAGTTTGCAAACGTACCAGTATGTGCCTTGTCCAGGACAGCAAATCGCAAGTTATTTTTAAGACTGTAGTGGGGAGGGCGTCGTTCTCTGTCCATGCATTTAAATAGCAACACAGGGGGGGGGAAGGCTAACACACACTTAACGAGCCTTAGAGAGGAAATAAGTCACCCAGAGGTCTGCAGCAGTAAATCTCGTCGTTTCGTTCAAATACATTTGGACTTAATATCTTTTTTTTCCTGCTGTTTAAATTTGAATGTTGTTGACAGAATAGGAGTACATTTTGTGGATCACATTCAGACGCCTCGTCTCTCTTCTTCTATACTTCAGTGTTGCCTGCGTAGAGCCTGGTCCATGATCGGGCTGTGGGGGAGAGACGAGAGAGAAGATATGAGAGGAGGGTGTGAGGAGGACGTGGTGGATAAGAGCAGTGTGGCAGAGTGTTTACAGATAACAACTCCTGTTGTGTTCGTTTCTCCCCTCCTTTGGGGCTCCCGGTCAAATGTCTCTTTTAACTGCTCTTACATTAAAAGGTCCCCTATTATACTGTTCTTCATCAATATATTACAGAGAGCCGGTCTCTGATTGGCTGAAACCCCAAACAGATCATTGCAGCATTACCCATAATCCCCTCTGTTTCAGCCCTGTTTCCAAAGTGCTGATTCTCTGTCTGTTACTTTAGATGAAAGTAAGGAGCCCCTCCCCACGCCCTCTGAGAGAGATTTGGTTACAAAGAACTCAATGGTGCTCTAGGAGGAGATTCAGGTGATATAGGGGGGTTGGGGGGGGGGGGGGGGGGGGGGGTTACCTTGGTTCCTGATTGGCTAATGGTTACACAAGACAAAACATCATTATGACATCATAAAGTGGCCCAAAATCTGATCAGCTCATTTTCAGACAGGTTTTTATAGAAATGGATCAAAAAGAGAGAGAATCTTTGTTCCTGAAACTTTCAGAGTCTCTTTCCACAGAGAGGACACATGTTGATGTAGAAGAGACATGAAGAAGAGGGGACACATGTTGATGTAGAAGAGACATGAAGAAGAGGGGACACATGTTGATGTAGAAGAGACATGAAGAAGAGGGGACACATGTTGATGTAGAAGAGACATGGAGAACAGGGGACACATGTTGATGTAGAAGAGACATGAAGAAGAGGGGACACATGTTGATGTAGAAGAGACATGAAGAAGAGGGGACACATGTTGATGTAGAAGAGACATGGAGAACAGGGGACACATGTTGATGTAGAGGAGACATGAAGAAGAGGGGACACATGTTGATGTAGAAGAGACATGAAGAAGAGGGGACACATGTTGATGAAGAAGAGGGGACACATGTTGATGTAGAAGAGACAAGAAGAAGAGGGGACACATGTTGATGAAGAAGAGGGGACACATGTTGATGTAGAAGAGACATGAAGAAGAGGGAACACATGTTGATGTAGAAGAGGGGACACATGTTGATGTAGAAGAGACATGAAGAAGAGGGGACACATGTTGATGTAGAAGAGACATGAAAGAAGAGGGGGACACATGTTGATGTAGAAGAGACATGAAGAAGAGGGGACACATGTTGATGTAGAAGAGACATGAAGAAGAGGGGACACATGTTGATGAAGAAGAGGGGACACATGTTGATGTAGAAGAGACATGAAGAAGAGGGGACACATGTTGATGTAGAAGAGACATGAAGAAGAGGGGACACATGTTGATGTAGAAGAGACATGAAGAAGAGGGGACACATGTTGATGTAGAAGAGACATGAAGAAGAGGGGACACATGTTGATGTAGAAGAGACATGAAGAAGAGGGGACACATGTTGATGTAGAAGAGACATGAAGAAGAGGGGACACATGTTGATGTAGAAGAGACAGGAAGAAGAGGGGACACATGTTGATGTAGAAGAGACATGAAGAAGAGGGGACACATGTTGATGTAGAAGAGACATGAAGAAGAGGGGACACATGTTGATGTAGAAGAGACATGAAGAAGAGGGGACACATGTTGATGTAGAAGAGACATGAAGAAGAGGGGACACATGTTGATGTAGAAGAGACATGAAGAAGAGGGGACACATGTTGATGTAGAAGAGACATGAAGAAGAGGATTTTGCATACTAGGTGACCTTTAACAGAAAACCCTTAATCATCTCCACATTTGATTGAACATCCTATTAAGCTGTCAACAATGCAATACCACATTAACATGATGTGGATTTGAGTGTGTGTATGATATGATGGAAGAACATCAGACATTTTGACCAGTTACACATCGACTAAACCACTGAAAATGCAATCAAAGTGGTGATCAGAAGTTGTATATGTTCAAATGAGTACTGTGGAGGATACCATAAGACCTTGAGGCAATCAAATGTAAAACACAATATTTATGAAAGTAGTAAATCGGTCCGTTTTGACCCGAACACGACAGGAAGGTTAATAGAAATCCAAAACAATTAGATAACCAGCTAACGTAAAATTAATCAACCATTTTCATGATCATTGTATCAATGAGAACATTTATGTGAACGAGTTTAGTTGGTTAACTAACCATTACTCAACTAATTGGTTTGTCGAACGCCAGAAATATAATTGCCAACTATGTTGAAGATTTATAATGTAAGTAAGTAAGTAAGTGCAACAAATCTCAGAAAGCGCTTGTTAATACAACAGCACAATTATATGAGATAATAGAAAAACTCAAGATTGTCTCTGACAGACAGATGTAGTTGAATGTCAGCCAAATGTAAACCTTAAAGGTGGGGTAGGTCATTTTAGAGAAACCAGCTCGAGTGCGCTAGAATTAGAAAATACACAGCTGGAAGAAATCTGCCACTTCCTCACAGAGCCCCTCCTCCAACACACACGAACGCGCTCATGACCAATGAGGGCACGAGGTAAGTTTGTGCCCAGATGGAAGGCTGACAGGCAGGTAGGCCATCCAGTTACTTTAGCCGGGCAGATGATTGGTCGAGCTTTTTACAGCGCCACGGCTTCCACAGATGACTTTTGTTCTGGATTTTTTGTCAAAGCATTTCATATATTCATTGCTATCGGGATGTTAAGAGCATTCCATGGAATATAACAAAAAGCGTTTCTGAAGTGAATTACCTACCCCACCTTTAATGGAATCCACCAGACAGGTGTTTCGACTGAAGCTGTACAGTACTTATTAAAAGCATGTTAGCGTTAGGGGTGGGTAATATGGGATATTCATCTATACACATGACTCCCTTCTCATTGTTTTGGGAATGAAAGGGAATATATCTAAATAAACAGGGATAAAGGAAGTAAGATAAGGGCCTATGAGTGTTTAGGGATGACTATAATGTGGATCATTTAGTAAATAAAATGTGATTCGTTCTCACATTTCGGTGCAGAATCATGCTATACTACATAAACCATCCGAACATGGATATAGAAAGAGTTTGAAATACAGAAGCTCGACACATTGGTAAGCCCAACGATGCCCTAATTTGGGCTAAAAGGAGAACATGTTTACCACAGTAATGACACAGCGTAGTCCATGTTCTAGCAGCACGAGACACCGCTGATATTTAAACTGAATTCACTTTACTGCCTGGCCATTTGACACCATTGTTTGTAGTACGTTTAACATCCCTTACGCGACACCTGTTATGCCCCTTTCACACCAACGCGTTTTCAGCTCCGGCTCGGAGCTGGAGCCTGAAAAGTACAATTTTTTCCTGTTCACACCGCTGCCTCTTAGCTCCGGAATCCGGTTCACTTCCAGCTCCAAAAAATTGTCGGTCTAGAGGCAAGAGCTTCGGAGCTAAGAGGCGGCGTCGCTTACGTCTCTCTTACGTCGAGGCGGGGGAAGTAGATGCTGAAGACCACAAAGAAGTCTTGCATTTCGCATTTGATGTTTGTAAAGTTCCAAGTAAAGTCGTCCCTTGGAAAGTCGTCCGATGCCTTTCATGTCGTTTCGTAAGAGAATAACCAAAGCGAACAGCGCCTCAATACAATCGGCTGTTGTTGTTGTCGATGTGAGGGATTTCCGCGCAGTTTGGATTTTATGAAGCAGGCACGTAAACGGTGACGTCATGACGCAGCAGCGGCAGCTCTGGGCGGTGTGAACAGAGCGGGAGCAGAAAAGGGAAACCGGAGCTGAACCAGAAAAGCGCTGGTGTGAAAGCCGCATTATAGTATTTTATTGCCCCTATGCAGAGCTTCTTTTACACGGCCGAACAACACGGAGATCACAGGACTCAGAACTGTGAGCTACTAAAAGAACCGTCGTCATTGGACTTTGTTTCTCTGGACTTAGGGAAGTTATCTCAGCCAAACAACTTGAAGATGTAATAACTGCATCAATTTGAACCGGTGTTCCTTACGGCCACGTTTTTCTGTTGACATTAACATTATTTTGTCATTTCAGCGGATCCTGGGTGCTTTAATGGACATAAACAAGACGTCAATCCTCACCTGTCTCAATGGCATTGCTTTCGTTTTTCTTCCACTGCTCTGCAACATCGTTTGCCAGGGGGTCATCTGGATTGGGAGCACTTAATAACGCCTGGATAGATAGCAACACTGTGCGGATCTGCAGGGCTGGAGACCACTTATCTGCAAGAGAAGTTCAGAAAGAGACGCACAAAGAGAAGACGCTTAAAATCGAAAAGGAAACGTCAGGGTGATAAAGCATTGGCGCAAGTGGCAAAGAGAATTAGAGAGGAGACGCAATAAAGGAAAGCCAGACGGGCTCTTGTAAAAGTAGTCAAATCAAATATAAAGATGGGCTAGGGACAAACATTAAAAGCAGATCAGTTTGTCAGCGAATCAGAAACTGTTCCATTATATTCTTTAATAACTTAAGGGCCAGTTTAGCGACGCTGTTCTGCTCTAGTCAAGTAAACCTGACCGTGACGTTGTTTACCTCAAAACTTGATTTAGCGGTTGAAATCACTTCTGTTTCCTCAGGCTTTATTCGTCAAGGATACATTGTGAAGAACAGCTGCTCCTTAGCCATCCCATATCATGAGGGAAATTACATTTCTGGTCTTTATTCTGATTGTGGCGATAAAAACGGTATCTTCGATTATACGTCAGGTTTGATGTCAATGTAACAGGACTGCAAATAGGTTACACATTTGATATTACAATGAATCAAATGTGTTACATTGAAATACCACAAATGACATTGAGACTCTTTGCAGCTCCATAATCAACTGACCGCTAAAAGTAACTGTTCTCCAAGAAGGAAGTAGGTTTTGGACTTCTTTTGCTGTGTGTTCAGACTCTCAAGAAGGTGCCAATTATAATATGGGTTGTTGGAATAATAGGTCAGCAGGTTGATCATGCGTCAGGTGTCGTAAAAGCCATAACCAATATAGATTTTCTACATCAGATATCCCTAATGGTGTCCTACACGTTGACTGTCTATGGTTAAGCTTATAAGTGCAAATGTTACGGTTTATTAAAAACAAAAATTCAATTTTACAATCCTTCTGTGCATAAGGTTTTCACATTAAAGCAAAGGAAAGATAGCACATTAGTTTCCCTATGATAAGGTTTCTTACCTTTCAAAATGTCTAAACATATTCTTCCCAGTTTGTCAACATTGGGGTGGTAGATTTTGGTCATGAATCGCACTTTGGGAGCTGCCATGGGATACTCTTCTGGAAGAAATAGTTCAAGTTTAAATGTGCCTCCTTCAAAAGGAGAGTCTTGAGGCCCAGCGATGATCACATGGAAGTAGCGTGCGTTCCCTTCATCTGGCGTGGCCGTGATCCCGGGAACCGGCTCTGCCATCAACCGCTGCGTCTCCTGAGCAGAACGGAAATAACACAATACGTTTGTTGACATGAGTATAAAAACATTGCTGTGGGTGTGGATTGTCCAGTTGATAATGAGTGGCGGGACACACTTTCACCCTGCTTAGTCACACACACTTGTACAAGCCTTGCCCACATTCAGACAAAGCCACATTCCACAAACTGTTGTTGAACACGGAAACTCAGAAGGTGTTTGACTGCTGGTTTGACAGTACGATGACAAAACCCATTAATTAGGGATTCTAGTAACATGGTTTTAATTGTAGATTAATCTGCTTTTTTCTTGCTTTACAAAATGCCAGAAAACATTTCAAAAATGTAATTCCTCAGAACTACAAGTAAGTAGTTTATACTGCTTGTTTTGTCTGCCTACTATCCAAAATATATGGTGTTACCACTACACAAAGCTTACTAACCCAGCAGGTATTTACAGTTGTACCATTGGATTTCTTTGTAGCACTTAATGGACAGCCAATTCATTATTTCAATAGGCTTTGTTTAATTTTCTAAATAATAGACGTGTTATTTCAGCCCCCAGTTATTTTAGGATGTAACAGATTTGTAACGTTTGTATGGTGGCGTAATTCTGAGTTCTACTGCAATACAGTAGGCCAACGACACTATGGGAACAAAAAAGGAAGTGAAGCATTTTTTTAAATTTCTGCATTTAAAAAAAAAAGCAGGTGCACCAAACTAATATCTGCAGTCAACAGGAAGTAGACTGGTTACATCTCGTCTCAAATAGCATACATGCCTTCGTTGGAATTTGAAAAACAATAAATAGATGCTGGAAGTCAGAGGTGGGAGAAGTACTCAGATCTTGTACTTGAGTAAAAGTACCAGCGTGTAGGAATACTCTGTTACAAGTAAAAAAGTATTAGCATCAAAATATACTTAAAGTAGTCGTTGTGCAGATTGGTCCATTCCAGAATAATATATGATATGTTTTATAATGATTGATCATGAAAGTGTTCTCAAAGCTGGTAAAGGTGCAGCTAGTTTGAATGACTTTGTATTCTGCAGGGTAGCTGGTGGATTTACTCCAGGTGGAACTAAAGTCTGATTTAACACTTGGTTATATTTCACATCATTCATCTGTAAAGTAACTAAAGGTATTAAAAATATAGTAAATGTGAACATCTCAATTGTAGTGGAGTAGAAGTACAAAGTAGGAAAAACATTGAAATACTCAAGTAAAGTACAAGTACTTAAGTACAGTACTTGAGTAAATGTACTTAGTTACTTTACACCACTGAGTACACTGGTAAATCGGGTCGTTAATAGCGTTCACTAGGATTCGAAAACAAACTCTCCATAATGGAAGCTTGTGTTGTGTTTTCACTTCGCTTAAGGTTGTTGTAAAGGCTGTGAATAACCTGCTAAAGGCGATAAATATGATGCTGGACGAAGTGGCTGGACGAAGTGGCGGAACAGGCTGCTTGAGGCCTGATGGATGAAACCGCAACGCAAAGGGCCCTTACATTTCTCCCTATTTTTTCATTTCATTTCATACAAAATAAACTAAATGAACATTGTTGCTTTGAGTCAAGCATTTTCATGTTCTGAAACCACAATGGCAACGTTTTCACATCCAGACATGTGTACCAATCACCCAAAAGCTACAACTGCTAGCATGGCTAACATTAGCGAATCCATTCATATGGCGACTAGGACAAAATATCATAATTTGTTGATTCATTCCATACATTAGCAACCCAGTGTTGTACAAACTACACGTATAGCACGACAATAAATGTAGTGGAGAACATAAAACACAGCTAGAGAAGAAGGGAGTGAACGGAAGTGGAAAAGCAAAACAGAAAAAATACCGAGTTAGCTTGATATGAGCTAACTATGCTAGTAATGCTAACGCCAGAATTACACGTTTTTTGGTAGTAAATGTACTTTCATACTCTCACAAAATACACTTATCAATACCCCACGACCGAGTGTGTTAGTGTATAAATACAATGTGTGGTGTAAAGTGTACCTTTATAATCCTACGAGGCAAACCGGCCATCTTGTGTTAGCTATTGTATTTTTAGCCGTGGACTCGACGCCTTCTCTTCAGGTCGGATTGACTTAACTGCGGGGCGGGAGGCGGGGCTAATCACTCAGACTTCCGGTGGCTTCAGATGACGTCACTAAATATGATGTTCAAGATTGTTTTGCACATTTTTTAGTGGTTTATTACAAAATGTTACATGCAGTATATGCTGTAAAAATAGACAATAGACAGATTTTAAACTGATATTGACTATTCTTGACATTTCTGTAATTTTCCCCATTTTATTTTTGGGGAAAATGTCACTTTCACCAGAAGACATGGAAATTACATTACATTTAAAGTAAACCCAATTTTGCACATTTTTACTTTTAATTTAATTGAATAACAACAATATGGAACCACTTTTAAAAAGAGTAAATATAATAAGCCATTCAAAACCAAATGTGTCTATAATAAATAGTATACTTTGTAATATTAACATAATAAAACTTGTCAAAGAGGAAAACAATTACAATAAATTGCCCCCCAAAAGTATACAATTGCAGCTTTCCGTTAAATAGCATTAATCTTTATTTATTTATATATTTGCATGCTGTGTGGAAAACCATTTATTCAAACATGCAAGTTTTTTTAACGAAAGCATGTTTTTCTCTCCTTCAAACAAAACATATTTGTTTGACTCAATAAATACATAAAAAATAAAGTATTTAGTTAAATGATATTATCTGCCTTCATATTATAGCAATCGTTTTTGTTATGCCCTTTGCTTATAAGATTATCTTTATTAGATTTGATCCATAACTTTACCTTCGGAGCATGAGGCCGTTAATTGCTTATAATCAGGAATAGACCATTCTGTTTTATTGGAGCTACACCATCATAGACAGTATTCAATATTAAGAACATTCAAAGAAATAAACTAAATAAATATATGAATGAAACACACAAATTGGAATCGGAGGATGAATTATGTCACACATGCACAGCAAACACATCTCTGCATTTAACCCAAACTGGTACTAGGGGCAGCTATTGGAGCAAATGGGGGGGACACATTAAACAACCATGTGAGAAATAATAGAATAAAATAATTCCAACTTAATAACATATTTGAGATATAGTTTATAATTCATAAGGACATTTTTGTTTTGAAAACAGCAAGCTATTAAGTACATGACCATATATGACAAAAAAAGAGATAGCATTAAAGTGCACCTATCATGCTATTTGAAGGCATATATTATAGTCTCAGATATATAAAAACATATCTATGATGTGTTTGCTCAAAATACAAACAGATCATGCATTTTAGACATCCCTCATATCCCTCTATTCCAGCCCTGTTAGAGAAACGCGGATTTTGGGTTCTTAGCTTGAAAGAAAGAAAAAGAGGAGGCGGAGCTAATGCCTGATCAGAATTCTACCGGAGATAAAGTTAAATTCTGCTGTGATAAAACGCCATCCTCTTCTAACCCACATCAAAGATTATTTCTAAAACAGTATGGAGCTCAAATGCTTTTTCTCTTGCGGGTTTATCACAAGGTGGGTTCCTTTTTTTATGTCCTGCTTTTTAAACACATGTAGCTACAGGTTAGCTCTGAGTGTTAGCAAGGCTTGCTAATGTAAACACCATGGATGTGGTAAACACCGACCATATTACGTCCAAAACATGTCAGGCATTGTTTCTGTGGGTCCACCATCCGAAATTACGTCATATCTGCAGCAAATCTGTATCAGCTCGTTGTACCCACGTTTCTAAAAGATTTGGGTATGGAGGAAAAGAGAGGGTTTTATTTTCTGACGCTGCGTGAGTTCCCGACCGGGGACACATGTTGATGTATAAAAGACATCACAAAGTGCATTTTGCATGATAGGAGACCTTTAAATCATTATATTTAGAAAGATGGAAAAACATTTTTCCCTGGAAGATGTTACAGTTATATAATTTTTAAATTGTTTCAAGTTTTCATCCCCATTAGGGTGACAGCATAAGAAGGATACATTTAGTTATTTTCTATTAAATCATTTGAAGATATTCTGGAGTCAACTTGGTCTGATCCCAAAACATATTACATTAATGACCATATATGACGGAGTAAAGCATCAAATCCTCAGATTTTGAAAGCCTAATTTTGCATCCCTGAACATGGGAATAAGAAGCATATGTACAATTGTTTTTTATATAATTTATTTAACGATATTCCGAGACATAACAATGAGAGAATACAAATGTTTTAAGATTAAATGTGGTACTATTTCTTACAGGCAAAGCCGATGATGAACAAAAACAATCAAGAACTACAAGGAAAAGCATCAAATCTTCTATCAAAAATAATTGTAAATAATTCATTAATCATCTCGTTGTTGCGGCTGTATTCTTTTGCATGAGGACATTTAGGAAAGAAATACACTTTTCTCTGATGCAAGCCGACAAAGCAATTCAGTTTTAAAGCTCATCCCTCTTCTCCTCCTCCTTATGGAAGACTTGTCCATCCGCCTGCTTCTTCCAGCTCAGTTGGATGTTGTCATCCAAGCCCTTGTCCCTCATTTCCTTCTTCATCTGAGACATTCATAGAGAAATTGTATCATTATGATATACATTTCCTGCTTCATTTGGTGGCAGGTAGGGTTAGGGTGGCAGGTCTGCTATGAGAATCAATCGGCTTGTTTTATGTCTAGGCATAAGAGTGGAAAACATGACCTTCCTTACCTTCACCAACAACTCATCCAGAAAAGCGCGGTCGTTCAGATCCACATTGGACCTCACTTTGATCACTTGCATTGAAACAGGTTCTAGAAACACAATTCATCAGTCACAACATCTACGGTGTGTTCTTTGTCAGCAGACTCAGTCTTATCACTTGCTGTGTTGAAGCTTTGAATTTGACTCACGTCTGTAGCAAATGAATTGTAGCTTCCACCCACAGCTCCCGTCCGCCCATTTTCCAGACTTGTGGAAATTTGCAGCCGAACAAGTCTTCATCGTGGTCAGTGGCGTTTCTACTTTCTATATGTACAAAAGTGGTGGGGCACAAAAAACTTAGATGTCTATAGCTTCTGCAGTGAGGTTCATGGCTGGTGAGGCACTGGCACCGACTCTTCAGGTTTACAAATATTATATTTTGACCTAAATCAAAATATAATATTATTTTCAAAAGCTTTTTTTTCTGATGCTTCAATTAATTTTAAACAGACAGTTCAACAGAAGGATACCAAAAAAATGTAATTTTATCATTTAAATATTGAATTGTTCTCTCTTAGTAAGATCCCATTTTCAATACAATTGCAGTCTTACCTTGACTTGAAGATGAAGTCCATTTGCCTATCCTTCTCGACAAAAATCTCTATTACTTTTTTGTAAAAGTCCTCCTTATGTTCTTGTTGTTTCAAAAGTCTATCATAAATCTAAATTATGATTCGAAAATTATAAAAGTAGGATAGACATGTGGATATTATCCGGCTGAACAAAACATGCATTTATCTAACAGGTTTGTTTCCCACAGATCTTATTTTGAGCTATTTTCTAAAATCCTATGGAGAAATCTCATTGCTTTTTTGTCGAGGGAAGCCATGCGCAGCTTACTTCCGGTTTTTAGGACGCGTCTCTCTCCTCCTCTTCACCTGCTCTTCACACACCACACTTTTCGCGGCACACGTACTTACAGCCAATCAGCTCTGAATTATGTGAGATGACGTATGGTGGGGATGGCAGCTCAGTGCCCCTATGGTCATTATTTTTTGCCACACACATTAAATAGGAAAATACTCTGAGCATGCGCAGTGTAGTTTTTACAGTCACCGTTCACTTAGACAGAGAGAGGGAGGGGCAGGATCGGGTTTTGTCCCACATGGCTCTAAACAGCTCAATAGGCACACACTGTAGACACTAATTAGAAGCAGGGGCGGACTGGCCATTGGGGATACCGGGAGTTTCCCCGGTGGGCCGGTGCTGTTTCTGGGCCGGAGGGCCAAAAAAAAAAAAAGTTTATAAAAAAAAAAAAAAAATCTTTTTTTTTTTGCCTAAATCCTACCGGCCCACATTTGTAAGTGTTCCAGTCCAGCCCAGTGCGGTGTGGCCAGGGTTGAGTTGTAACGGAATACATGTAACGGCGTTACGTAATCAGAATACAAAAATCAAGTAACTGTATTCAGCTCGCGTTACATTTGAAAAACAAGTAATCTGATTACAGTTACTTTCGTAAACCTGAAGTGAATACATTTTGGATTACTTATTGGAATTATTGGTGGAAAGATTTCCTCACAACATTTAATATTCATTACTAAAGGTAAAGCCGAATCATCACAGCGCACAAAACCGCGCAGATGGACCAAAAAGGGGAGCGTTTGAAAAAAATGTGCAGGTCCGCTCAGTGAAACAATAACAACGTAACATGGAGGAACAAAAGTCTGCGTTTAAATCGTGTGTGTGTAGAGGTGTGTGGTTAAAACACATCAGCCACACCGCTATTTAGACTTTCTAATGATTCTGAAGGTAAACACAGTGAAGGCTGTGCGTGAAAGGCGGTGCGTGAAAGGCACTGCACGCTCCTCTTCTCAGAGACTGAGTTAACCCTCCCGCTGCCTCCTGGTGCTGCAGAGATTTCATGAAGTGAAGGAGGTTTTCCTTCTATAAAACAGCTGCGGGCAGCAGATACTGTGAGAGTCACAGACATGAATTCATAGATCAAGGCAGACTGGTGCACACACTCTCCTGTTTTGCCAATCCGGTGCTTAAACAAATATAGCTCTACACCCCTGGCCGAAATGTCCTTAAAATGAAGTCCGAGTTCGACATTTTAATTCATGTCCTGCCAACACTGGCAGGACAGAAGGCAACACGCCCTTTCTAAGCCATGTCCTCACATCTCAAGCTGCATCCCCAAAAAGTGTATTATGTTGTTACAACAGGGTTCAGGGGGAGTGGCTGTACGGCTGTACCCGTAAGATAGAAAATGGGGAAGTGATGTCTGACTCAGAGGTCGCGCGGCTGTGGAGAAGAACGTGTTGCCCACATTCTGTTTCTGAGTTTAGGCTAGTTAGCTAGCAGGTTTATTGTTTTGGGTGCAGTCACTTTTGCCTCCATTTGCTGTTCAAATAAATGTTGAAAGAAAAAGTTAATCTGTTTACAGTTCTGTTGTATATGGGTGTTGAAGAAGAAGAATTGGGAGGGATGAAACCCTCTTTAATGGTCACACATGCAGAGCACACAGCACACACAGTGAAATGTGTTCTCTGCTTTTAACCCATCCTAGTACCAGGAGTCTAGTACTAGGAGCAGTGGGCAGCTATTGTACAGTGCCCGGGGAGCAATGGGAGTGAGGGGGGAAGGGGGATGTCCGGTGCCTTGCTCAAGGGCACCACGGCAGGGCAGGAGGTGAACTGGGACATCTCCAAGTAGAAGTCCACACTCCAAATAGGTCTGGTCGGGGACTTGAACCGGCGACCCTACGGCTCACAGTCCAAGGCCCTACTGACTGCCATAGATTTAGTCCCTAATTTTGCTCTCAAAATGGACCAGATTGATGCATTTAACTTCAACATTTAAAAAAAAATCTTCCCGGAGGAGCTTGCCCCCGGACCCCCCTAGAGGAGGTGAGGTCCAGCACCTGCTCACACCCCCTGTTAAATTGTCTCACCCACATTGAGGATGCTTCCTACGCCCATGTTTTATTCCATGTGTCAAGTCAGACAAATTGGGTCAAAATGTTATTGCATCAATGATCTGTTAACATTAAAATCACTAAATATATGCCGTAACTATTTTGCTCTATGCAACTCAAGGGCTCAGGTAATGTGATTACTATATGAATAATGGTCCAAAATAACATTAAATGCATTTAATGTTTAATGTTAAGTAACATACTTTCGTCGCTGGCCGGCCGATACATGCCGCGCATTAAGTGGGCCTGTCTGTCAATTAATCCCCAGGCCACTTTTTTCCCCCAGTCCGCCCCTGATTAGAAGAACACATACTAAAACAGCAATGTACAGACGAATCAGATGATTAAACATGATCTTATATTTTATATATATTTTTAATTTATTTTTTGCATTTTGTTGTAATCATTATTTTAATACTTTCTGCTGACACTAGGTGGGGCTGTGCCACAGAGAAGTGCTGAGTAGAGGCATCACAACATACAGCCTGCCATCAATGCCATTATATAAAATATGACATTGAAATCCCCTATTATATTTCACAAGCTTTTGATTTGATTTTAAAGGCATACAATAATCTTAAGTTAATATTCTTACCACTGACATCGAAGCAGACTGCCCTAAAGCGGTTGTTACAATCAGTATCATCCCAATTTCATTCTGTGGTGCTCCAGACTCCCACCGTCTGAACTCCGTCTCCCCCGGTTTGTAGAAGCTTGTGTCTGACAGTGACCAGCTCCAGCTGTCCACGTCATTGTACAGCCCTATCCAGGCCATCTGAAAGCAATATTCACTGTGTTATAAATAATGACACAGTGATGTAGCTTTTAAAGCTGCTCAAGGAAATGTATGTTTAATTAAAGGTACATTCGTTTTGCCTTTATGAGTTCAGCCTTGATACAAGGTAAGTTGATTTATATAGCACATTTCAACACACAGCATTTCAAAGGGCTTTACAAAATGAAAAACATTAAGAAATAGTGCAATGGAAACACATAATGTATTTTTTTGTAGTGTTGTACAGCCACCTTAAAAGAGTGCTCCCTGGGCAGCTCGGGTAAACATATAAAGTGGAAGTGGGGGGTTGGAGCGGATGTATAGCTGTGGAGTCACACGGTTTCTTTACCGCTTCGTGCTGTTATAGTTTAGAGAACCCTGTGAATTGTACCTTTGTTGAAACATGGATTAAAAAAGTGGATTTTATTTGTCTCAACAAAACGGACTTCAGTTTATTTTTAAACTGCAAACGGCACCGGACACAACAGGCCATGACACAACAGCTAAACAAACTGTAGGTGCCATAACACTACTTAGCTCAAGTTCATTATTTGTATTGTTATTATTATTTACGTCACCTTTATTTGCTTGTTGAGCACTTCCGGTAATTGCCACATGGGTGTGGTTTGGTTTATAAGTCACCTGTTTGATGTCGAGTGCAAATGACAGAGGGTGAGCTTGTGCTGTCATTTCTTCTGTTGACCGTTTTGTCCATAGTTACTATGTTTTGATTTTGTTTATTAAATATCCTTAAAACTATCTTGCTTCAACATGGACTTTCTCTTCGAAAACACGTCACAGTTTAAAGCCAAGTTTAGCCTCTCGGCGACTCAAATGTAACTGGGGATTGAGCCGCCACACAAACATTTTGGCATCTACAAACGGTATAAAGAAAGGTCTTCATGCCTTGTAAGGCATTTAGCAGTGATGAAGGATCATCACTAGTCCTTGTTCTGTGTAAAAGTATATACAATAATTTATTTAAAGGACATATGAGGCTCCAGCTGTCTGTGGATATTTCCAGGCTTACTGTCTTTCTAACACGAAATGCCCTCCTTTTGTAACAGTCCTTCCACTGCAGCTCAAATGTTCAAGCTTCAAGGTTCAAGGCTTGTATTTGTCATACGTACATAGCTACGTCGATGAAATCTTAGGTCACACTGTCTTGTGAATCACAACGGGGGTATAATGAAAACACTACTACATTTAAGAGGTAGATTATATCATTTTCAGACCTGTCATCAGCATTAGTCAAAATAGCTGAACTCACCACGCCAACATACCCTCCCATGCTGTGCAGGAGAGTCACAACCTCCATGCTGTCTACAGTGGCCAGGTCTGTGTAATTCTCTCGGCAGTATCTCTGTGCTTCATCAAAGGTCATTTTTTCATAAACAAAATGGTACTGACGTCCAGCATGTGATGAGACAGCGCTCAGCCCTGTGGAGACACAGACATTCATCTAGATTCTAGGGTATAACTTGACTTTTTAAAATCACATAATCACACGGAAAATACTTTAACGTTGACTTTAATTAAATGTATTGTGTCTACATAGATTTAACATAACTGTATTAGGTTAGTTGAAAGCAATAATATTAAGTTTAAATAAGTAATACTGGGTTCAACTTAATATTACCGCTTTCAACTAACCCAATACAGTTATGTGTAATCTGTTGACATAATACATCCTCAATGTTTAATTTTTCAGTGTAGGCTGTGTAATTATCATGATACATCTGGACTTCTCCTTCTCACAATTCACAGTGAAATATTTAGCATTCAGCTGCACCTATTTTAGACGATTACCTTTAAAACATGATAACAGATGTAAAGTCTGCAAAACAATCAATTGTCAAATAGAATCAGAAATATAATCTCGTCATTTATCCCACCACCCCTCAGGTTTACATGAAATAATCAATAGCAAAATTAAATATATCCAAATCCATAAAAGACTTGCCTGCAGCTGCCATGATCAGCAGTAGAGCGGCGTCCATCGTTGTTTGCTCTCTGATTGCGGGTGTTGTTACCGCTGACAGTGTTTAATATATATCTAGTTTACAGTTAGCCAGTCATCTGAGTTCATGCAAATCGGTCAGTCGCAACGGTTGTTTGCATAGAGTTCGAACAATTATGCAAAATGGGAAACGTTAATTGTTGTCACGTAGCTATATGCCTAAAACAGTCCTGATGCTCTTCAAGATAATCATACATCCTGTCATGTACAGCTACAGTTGGGATACCTTTGTTATCATGTGTACTCTGATATTGGAAGAGTACATTCAGTATTTTCCCAATACATAGGCAAATAATAAGCTGAAAATACACATTTGGAACTTTATCTTTGTAAAAACAAAACGTTTAAAATCGACATTGTAGCAACCAGAAGGGGAAGAAGTACTCAGATCTTGTACTTGAGTAAAAGTAGAAGTACTCAGATCTTGTACTTTAGTAAAAGTAGAAGTACTCAGATCTTGTACTTGAGTAAAAGTAGAAGTACTCAGATCTTGTACTTGAGTAAAAGTAGAAGTACTCAGATCTTGTCCTTGAGTAAAAGTAGAAGTACTCAGATCTTGTACTTGAGTAAAAGTAGAAGTACTCAGATCTTGTACTTGAGTAAAAGTAGAAGTACTCAGATCTTGTAATTTAGTAAAAGTAGAAGTACTCTGATCTTGTACTTGAGTAAAAGTAGAAGTACTCAGATCTTGTACTTGAGGAAAAGTAGAAGTACTCAGAACTTGTACTTGAGTAAAAGTAGAAGTACTCAGATCTTGTAATTTAGTAAAAGTAGAAGTACTCAGATCTTGTACTTTAGTAAAAGTAGAAGTACTCAGATCTTGTACTTGAGTAAAAGTAGAAGTACTCAGATCTTGTACTTGAGTAAAAGAAGAAGTACTCAGATCTTGTACTTGAGTAAAAGTAGAAGTACTCAGATCTTGTACTTGAGTAGAAGTACTCAGATCTTGTACTTGAGTAGAAGTACTCAGATCTTGTTCTTGAGTAAAAGAAGAAGTACTCAGATCTTGTACTTGAGTGAAAGTAGAAGTACTCAGATCTTGTACTTGAGTAAAAGTAGAAGTACTCAGATCTTGTACTTGAGTAAAAGTAGAAGTACTCAGATCTTGTACTTGAGTAAAAGTAGAAGTACTCAGATCTTGTACTTGAGGAAAAGTAGAAGTACTCAGATCTTGTACTTGAGTAAAAGTAGACATATTCAGATCTTGTACTTGAGTAAAAGTAGAAGTACCAGAGTGTAGGAATACTCTGTTTCAGTAAAAGTCCTGCATTCAAAATGTTCCTCAAGTGAAAGTAGAAAAGTATTCTCATCAAAATATAGTGAAAGTAGCGACAGTAAAAGTAGTCGTTGTGCAGATTGGTCCTTTTCAGAATAATATATATGATATGTTTTATAATGATTGATCATGAAAGTGTTCTCAAAGCTGGTGAAGGTGCAGCTAGTTTGAATGACTTTGTATACTGCAGGGTAGCTGGTGAATTTACTCCAGGTGGAACTAAAGTCTGATTCAACACTTGATTATATTTCACATCATTCATCCACATCTGTGAAGTAACTAAAGGTATTAAATACATGTAGTGGAGGAAAAGTACACCATTTACCTCTGAATTGTAGGGTAGAAGTACAAAGTAGCAAACCACTTAAATGCTCAATTAAAGTACAAGTATCTCAAAATTGAACTTCAGTACAGTACTTTAGACTGGTAGCAACAAGTAGTCGCCACAATAATATATATTTTACATTAATAAAGCTTCATACAATGTTTTCTTGTCTGCATATCTAAAAAGGTTTGACATGATGAAATATACACTACAATAGTAGTGAAATTACCAAAGATTAAACCCTTAAAGTATCTTTTTTTTGCCTAAAAAACAGTTAAATATACTAATTATTCATGTGGACGGGAGTCTATAGTCATGCTGATGCTGATAATAAGCAGGTAGTGTTTTAGCGAGCCAACATTTGCTATTTAGCACTAAACTAATTTTTTACAATCTTGTTCAGAAATACAAATATTGGACAAAAGATCAAAATGGTTGCCGTTCATTTACCGGTCACTACGAATGTGTGCATCAAGTTTCAAATCCAATAGTTTGTCACGATATTTCAATAATGAACTGATCATCATGGAGGCGCTAGAGGAAAAGTCAGACGATCAGTAAAAAAAAGTTTAAATGCATCCTCTAGGGACCTTGAATATCTGTTGTAAATGTCAAGAAAATTGCTTTCATCGTTCAAGATAAGTCAGCCCGAACCACCAATGTAAACCCAATGGTGGCACTACAGTAAAAGTCAGAGGTATACCAAAGTCAGTAGGGTTCATCCTCCTGGGATCACGAATGCCTGTACCAAATTTCCATCCAATGCATCCAATAGTTGTTGAGATATTTCAGTCCGGACCAAAGTGGTGGACCAAAAGACAGACTCAGTTTTCCATCTATAGAGCCATGTCTTTGGCAAAGCTTAATATTCAAGATTGAGAAATAGAAATTCTAAGACAAAAGTAAAAGTTGCCTTATTGTCCTTTATATTTGTTTTAATAGTATAGTTTTATAAATGATGGCAGATGGCTGTCACGCATATACAAAAACTGATGAGATCAACTAACAACACAGGGTTTGGAGGTTACTGAGGGTGATGAGGATTAGGATCATATAAGGCAGTTTCGAATCACCTAAAACTTTAAAATGACCCAAAACTCATTCGAATCAGCCCACAGAGTATAAATATGACCACTTTCTGGTTAAAACTGCAATTTTGTAGCTTTTGTCTGAATATGCTTATTAATGCAATGTATGCCAATTGTGCAAATGGCCCAACATATGCAAGTAAGCATCCGGCACCGACTCCAAAACATGACAACATGTGTAATATTTAACAGTTTATTATACATCATTGTGACAACACAAACAACATTATTTGCAATTCTGAAACTCTGGCCTTCAACTATCTGTCCTTTGGGGGATCCTTCTTCCTGCGTCTCTGGTGGTACCTGTGAACAATGACACGGAAGGAAATTAATGAAAATCTATGATATTTCTTTCAGCTCTTACATTTTGCATCACAATAAAATTTTAAAAAAGGACGACAAGAAGCCAATTAGTTATCCACACTAAGGCAGGACATGGTCTGTTTGCCAGCTCACAGAGTCCTGTTGTTAACCTGAAAATGTCAAGTGCCCCAAAGCCTTATTTTAGAAATGTATAGTTCGGGTTCCAAGCACATGGAAACTGCCGGATGTTAACTTGCATATCGACAATTTGCAAATGTACTGCAATTAGAATATGCAGACAATAGCTAGAAAATGGTTTGGCCGATCTGGACAATTTTGGAGTGGTTTTGGGTGTTATTGAATCAATTTCTGACATTTTCAGGACCAAAAATGACAGAAGTAAGATGGACTTTTGTTAATCCCTCGTGGGGAAATTGTTTCTCTGCATTTGACCCATCCTAGTGTTAGGAGCAGTGTGCTGCCATTTTGAACGGCGCCCGGGGAACAGTGTAAGGAACGGTGCCTTGCTCAGGGACACCTCGGTAGCACTTGGTCTTGCCGGGACTTGAACTGGTGACCTTCCAGTTGCCAAGCCAAGTCCCTATCGACTTCGCCACCACCGCCCCTGGCCATATCTGTGAGCTGATTGTGGGTTTTCTCTGGAAGTTTTTCCTTGTACGATGTGAGGGTCTAAGGACAGCGGGTGTTGTATTGTCATTCTGATATTCTGTACAAACTGTGAAGACCACTGAGATATTGGGCTATATAAATAAACATTGATTGATTGAGATTGATGCATTTTGGGTCGATTTTAAAGTTTTAGGGGACTCAAAACAGCCTTTTTTTATCCTAATCCTCATCATCCTCAGTAACCTCCAAACCCTGTGTTGTTAGTTGATCTCATCGAAAGACAACAGATGTTGTGCCAGGTTTAACCTCGGGCTTGTTCTATTGTTGAGCTGCTTTATGCAAACACATAATGATTTGACTAGATCAGTGTCCGCAGACCACTGGACCGTGAGTATATTGGTAACATTTCACATTTGAAATAAATAAATACATTAAACGTTACGCACTCTCGCTGGAATATCTCCGCAATAGAGCGAGCTTAACTTTCACATTGATATAGGAGCCCAGCGCAACACCTTCGTCACACATGTTGCCCTCTTGTACCATTTCCAGGCGATTTGTAATCTGTTCTAAAAAACTGTTTTTTATTTTATTTCAAGAAGCATATAGAACAAACAATGGAAGTCTTTTATGAACATGTATCCATGCTGAAAGTAGATTTAGGAGTGAGATAGAGATTATAATATATGCGTCCAACGAAGCATTGCATGAAGTCTGTTGATGCCAGCGCGATGGTCACCAAGGTTCATGTTTTAATAGCATTTTTACAAAAACAGCCCAGACGAGCCTAACGTGAAAAAATGGCTTAGACCTCAGAGTTAGACTTGGGCCTGCGACTATAGTTTTACTGTATTTTGTTTTGAAAATCCACAGCGGAGGTTTGTGTCGTAATACATGCGGTGTATTTTGCATTTCTCTCAGTACGCCAACGATCTGTGAGTCTGTTGGTCATAAACACCGTTATAAATGTAGTCTACATTTCATAAGAGGTGTAAAATCATTTTAAATCGCATTTGAACGAAAGGCTTATATAATCTGTAGTTGTATTGTTGATTTAATGTGTGAACGAGGCGATGTAGAGAGGTCACGTTAAGCTGTTGTTATTAGGCTGTACTTTGTTATGTACTGTTGGGGTGGTGAGCAGGCCTATTGTTTTGGGATATTGTCATGTCAGTAATAGGTGGTGAACTTGATCCACTACAATTTGCGTATCAGGCAGGGAGAGGCGTAGAGGATGCAAAGCTTTGTATACTGCACCCTCCACAAACACCTTGAAAAGCCACAAGCCCACGCTACGCTTTTGTTTGCTGACTTTTCTTCAGCATTTAACACAATGCAGCCGCAAGTCCTGGTAGAGAGCCTCTTATGTCATTTTAAACTGCCCGATCAACTTGTTTTATGGATTTTAAACTTTCTAACTAATGGAAAGCAGAAGGTCTGTCAATGGACGCCTCTCTGACTCTGTCATCACTTCCGCGGGCTCGCCTCAAGGATGCGTTCTTTCGCCCCTACTTTTTATAATGTACACTGATAAATGCAGGAGCATGCAAGACAACAGCTACCTGGTTCAATTATCTGATGATCCCGCCCTCTTGTCCCTCCTTAGCGGCTCAGAATCAGAGTTGTGCTCTTACTGATTTTATTTCCTGGTGTGATGACAGCTTTCTGGATTTAAATGTCTCTAAAACCCAGGAATTGATCATTGATTTTAGACGTCACAAGGACGTTCCTAAGGAGTGCTTTTTCGATGACCACCTCAAATTTGATGTGAATACTGAGTGTATTGTGAAGCGGGGTCAACAGAGAATGCACCTTCTTCTCAAACTGAACTCTTTCTCTGTCAGGCCTTTCATTCTTTGTCGTTTTTACCAAGCATTCATTGAGAGCCTTATTTGTTTTTCTTTTATCTGCTGGTTCCATAGCCTTACACTGAAAGACAGGAACACCATTGTTAAAACCTGCTCTAAGGTCATCGCCAGCGTGAAACAGAGGGACTTAAACTCCTTCTGTAACCAACAGATTCTGGAAAGCAGAGCATTCTGGCCTCTCCAGGTCATGTTCTTGCTCAGGAATTTCGTCTGTTGCCATCAGGGCGAAGATATTAGGGATGCCAGAAACTGACCATGATCAAAATCGGACAGCCCTGGCGACAATGGAGACTGTAACGAATATTCGACTAATCGACTAATCGCTGGCATCCCTAGTAGATATGCTCTAAAGACTAATCACTTTTCAAAATCATTCATCCCTTCTGCACTCAAACTTTTAAATTCTTGAAAGGCTTTTAACTTGATTATTTATTTATTATTGTGATGCTTTGAACTATTTATCGTGTAAATTGGAATGAACCACATCTGTGCTCCCGGGTGTATCGGGGCGGTGGTGGTGAAGTCGATAGGGACTTGGCTTGGCAACTGGAAGGTCACCAGTTCAAGTCCCGGCAAGACCAAGTGGTCGAGCGAGGTGTCCCTGAGCAAGGCACCGTTCCCCACACTGCTCCCCGGGCGCCGTTCAAAATGGCAGCACACTGCTCCTAACACTAGGATGGGTCAAATGCAGAGAAACAATTTCCCCACGAGGATTAATAAAGTATATCAAATCAATCTGTGTGTTTTCTTCCTGTATGTTCCTGCCTGTGTACATGACACAAGCTGCTGCTCATAACCAATTGCCCCTTGCCGGATTAATAAAGTTGTTGATTGATTAGATATATTTGGCAAGATTTGTAATCTTTGTAACTGTGTCAGAATTTGATTCAACATTGTCCATAACCACTAAATAATTGCCATTTATTTTGGTATCGTCTCCTAGTTAATGAAACTAAGCCAATTGTGCAAGTTAGCATCCAGCAGTTTCTATGTGCTGGGGATCCGTACTAAACCTTTCTAACATATTCATTTGGGGTACCCAACATTGCTGGCAAGTAGACTATAAGTAAAAATGAAAAGCACAATGTGTGTGTAATTGATGTACTTACTGTCCGACTGGGTACCACCGGTGTTTGGTGGTGAAAAACATCTTGCTCAGCTCCTCTATGGTCGGGCCCTTTTTGTCCCTCAGCACCTCCTTGCTGAGGTGGGCCTTTAACATCTGGTCATGCGACTCAATCGGGTTGTTCAGGGGGTTTGGTCGCTCGATGGGCTGCGGGAAAAAAGTAATTATCAACAAAGTTCCCTCTAACTAATTTAGTCGGTGTCACGTGACTTGAATTTTGAATTGAGCCGTCCCTTATAGATACCATCACTTTACGTATTAGTGATGGGAATTCCGGTTCTTTTTAGTGAGCCGAATCATTTGAGCCGGCTCTTTTTCGGCTCCTAAACGGCTCTTCATGTTACCACAGTTTACCACGGAGCCTCTGTTTCGCCGCTGCGAGGCTCCAGCGCTAGCAGCTGCAGCGCTAGCAGCTCACGCGCGTGCTCCACTAGCACCCCCCCGTCAAGGCTCGCCGGCAGTACATTTTCCGTCACTGGAACACGCTTTGCTGGCGGTGAAAATAATCCCACCAGACTCCTTTGCCCCTCCAACAGAGGGATGTCCTTGTCCTTTTTCCTTTTTGTCATTTCAAGCGATAAAAACTCTCGATCTTCACACAAACATTTTTGTATTCAAATGAAGGCAAGACGCCCCCCTGGCGGAAACGCTGATGACAATAAAAAGTAGGGGTTATATCGGCGATACTCCGTATTTGACTGATTATCGGTATCTGCCTTTTTTTGATCAAATTGCCGATAAAACTTTGGCTCTGATGCGGCCGTTTCTCTGGCTGCAGTCACCACTCTGTGCACACGAGCAATGTCCCGCCCACAGCCAGAGAGACGGGACCTTCTCAGATTACAGGCAGGTGCGAAAGAACGCAGACACAGGCTGAAGCAAGCAGCAGCGCTGAGCGGCAGAGCCATACATGTGTTAAACCGAAGTTCAATAAACATCCCTATCCCCTATGCTGAAGTTGCAAAAACACCACGATCTTATGATCCAATTCAGTTTCAGTTTCCCAGTTACACAGGGACGCGGGAAGTCAGTCAGAGTTGGGGGTGCGTGCAGCGTCTCGCAGCGGAGTAACTGTGGTGCGGAGGGGGGGCTGCGAGTGGAGCCTCGCAGTTATTCAGGTTGATATGTGAAGCTCATTAGCTAGCCGACATGTATCTAGCAAATGTTTAGCAAAATATTAGAAGTGAGGCTAATAGACTAACGTTAGGTCTACTGTAATAGCCTCACTTTTAATAGTTTGCAAAACATTAGCTAGCACTAGTGTTTTACAGTTGCTAGCAGCTTATTGGGATGTTATGCTAGATAGACAGGCATTGTTTTGATATAATAAATTAAGCATTATTGTTAGTTAAGCATGTCAGCCTGCAGCCCCACTTCTTGTCCCTCTCTAACTCATAGCAGATGGCTGTACTAAAGAAAAGGGCACAGAGAGGAAACCAGTTGTAAGATGTTTAAAAGTTCATTAAACATAATATATGCTTAAATGCATTTCAAAGAAGTTGTGTTGGAGTTTGTGTTATTCTACATTTTGACACCAAGATCTTCTGATTTTACTGCAAATGTATATCGGTTCCAAATATCGGTTATCGGTCTCCTTGATTACTAATAATCGGTATCGGCCTTGAAAAAGCCATATCGGTCGATCCCTAATAAAAAGCCTTTGAATCTACAACCACTTTTTCTACAAGTGTCTTCTAGGACAGCACATGAGCTGCAAAGGGGCAACACATGAGACAGTTGGACACATTGAGGCTATGGATCACTCTCTTACCTGAGTGAGCTCATAGGGAACGTCAACAATGGGATGGTAACACACGATGGTTTTCCCATCTGAGGTCACACCAATATCCACATTGCTAAATCAAAGAAAATTAGAGGTTATTATCCTGATCACAATATCACAAGTACATTTATTTATTAAGTATCAATATTCCAGAACATTTTAAATGCACTTTCTTCCTTTCTTTGGTTTAACTGAATACTTTGCAGATGATAAAACCAACAGACAAAGTATACATCCTTCACAGTTCATACATTACAGTACGAGACAAGGAGCGTATCTAAAGCTGCACTTTTAACACATATTTTTAAATAAGTAATTCAATAAGTTCTTACTGGTTATCATCAAGTGAAGAACCGCTGGACTTCTGTCGCATTGGCACCACACATGCTGCAACAGAAAACAAAACAGGTGAGACACACATATATACAGTGGTTTAAAGTAACGAAGTACATTTACTCGTTACCGTACTTAAGTACAATTTTGAGGTACTTATACTTCACCAGCTTTGAGAACACTTTCATGATCAATCATTATAAAACATATCATATATATTATTCTGAAATGGAGCAATCTGCACAACGACTACTTTTACTGTCGCTACTTTCACTATATTTTGATGAGAATACTTTTCTACTTTTACTTGAGTAACATTTTGAATGCAGGACTTTTACTGAAACAGAGTATTCCTACACTCTGGTACTTCTACTTTTACTCAAGTACAACATCTGAGTACTTCTACTTTTACTCAAGTACAACATCTGAGTACTTCATCCCTCTCTGCATAATATATATAATGCACTAGTTAACAGGACACATTTAAAACGCTTTAATCCCTGCACTATGCACATTATAGTCTTTGATGTCAGGGTTTGACGTCCTTGCAAGACACAAAACGTCGCAAGTATGACACATATCAAGATAAGATATACTTTATTGAACCCAAATTAGAACAACATTTTGTGACAAGTGTGTTAAAACAAGCCATTGCACATAGTTCTGAAAAATAAAGAGTAGAAAATAAACAAATATAACATCTCACATTCATGCCAGAGCAAGCATGCATTAAGGAATACTATTATTCACAGTTATTAGGTATATTTTTATACATTTTTACAGGTAAAACACAGTTAGCCAAATGTTAGTGTTTACCTTCTGAACACAGTCTCAAGGTTAGCCTCTGTTAGCATTGCTTGCTACACCATTGAGCTAACGGTTATAAACGGTTACAAAAACACCACCTTTAACTTGAGTACTTTCATACATTTTTTAATTGATAAAAAAAAGAACTTACTTTGTACATGTCTTAATGTGGTGCCGTTAGAAAGTCGAGTTAAGAGACTGTGTAGTTTGCATAAATGACCCGACGCCATGCTCAGTTATCAACGGCTGTGCATCACTGAAATAGTTCCGGCTTCAGTCACTTTGGTTCCACTTGTCAAACGAAGTGAGGAAGCAGTCATTAAAAATCCATTACAATTGTATACTGTATATACGTGCACATTAAATGTACTACAAGGACATGTTATTGATATTAATTGTAGTGTAAATGTACTTGTATAATTGTACATCTGAGTTTTCATTTGAATATGCTCTAAAAATAAAACAGTTGTAATAACAAATAAACAACAATGTTCAAATCAATTACTTATTTATTGTTTAAATAAAGGTGAATGTATTATTGTGTTAAGAACACTCTATAAGCATAACACGTTACATCTGTTAATAATGGCTGTCTTTTCAAACTGAAATGGTCTCGACGTCCTCTACAGTGGACATACTGTAACATTTAAAAATTAAATAACATAAACAAATATATAACATCCTAGTTTTATCTTATGTTGCAGGGTCTTCAGGATTCATTTTAGGCAAATGTGGTTTCTGATTTGTAAAATATTATAATTCCCTCTCCAAAGGCCCATCTTATATATTTGAAATAGTATGCTTTTCCATCATCTTCCATTTTCAGTGAGATTCAAAAGATTCGAAAAATCCAGCATATTGTTGTTTTTGAAATTGACTCAAACATGTAATAATAATTTCGCCCTACATGTTTACCTTTCGCCCTCTGACGCTGCTGACCAACATTGAGCAGCCTTTATCTCCCTTAAGGAGGGGCTGCCCTAGCATTTTGTTGATGTTGCCAGTTTGTGACCGGGCAACTCTCGGTCAGAGAGTTATTGTTGTGGGACACCTGGAACACATCCTTCTCGGGTGTAGATGACCCCGAGGCATAAGCGACAACAAATGTGATTCAGTGTCCTCAACTGTTTAGTCTATTGAAGAATGTTGATTATAATTTATTACACTCTGAACTAGTTAAAACCTGGAGCTACAGGAGGGTTCTTCAGAATTGATTGTGGCATCTGGTGGTCAACTCGTGGCCCGTGACATGTCTTGTGAATTCTCCGGCCGAAGCTCCAAATAAACCGTCAGTGTTTGCCATCAAAGCTCCAGCTCTCCATCGTGTCTCTCTTTGAGTCCTGACTCCAATTGCTTCAGAAGTTTCCCCCACAGTTACCACTTAGAAAAGCTCTCTCCACTTAATTAATTTGATCAATATATCAATGTATTACCCATTTAAGACATACTTATCATAAAGCCTGTTCATCATCTGTAACCCTGCAGACAACAAGGGTTACATACAAAAAAAAAACGTTTTACACATTTTTAAACTGTATTTATTTATTGAATATACAGCATGTTAATGAGTCCACTATGTTTCAACACTGGTGCCAGATGCTAGTATACAGACTTCTTTAAACATTTGATTTGACCATTGAACATTACCAGAAAACCCAGGTATGCACGTGTGAAAATAGTTTTTGTAGCATATAACAACAAAAGGAAAACTGAAATAGATCTCAACGTAATATAAACAATTCAAATATCTGAATCACTGCGTCCACATTAAACATCTTAGATATATTCACTCATGAATATAACGCTTTGTCTTTTATTAACACATCTATGAGTGTGCAAAGCAGCTGTTGTTATGTGTGTAGCGAGACAAGCTGAACACGTTTCTTCAGGTGTTTTCCGTCTAGTTCACATTCTCTCCACCTTCCAAATTCTTCAGGAATGCAGCTTCGTTTGTTCCAATCCTTTCCCCTTTTTTCTGCACTCTGAGAACACAGCGACAGCAGGGCAGCCGGATGTGTTCTCAGGCTTTCTCAGCTTTATTCATGTGTTCAGGTTGCCGATTCATCCGGAGCGTCACTCGGAGACTTCCATCTCTCCCGAGGCTGCAGCGCTGGAAGCCTGGGACCCCGTGTTCGCCACCATGCGCTCTCGGCCGCCAAACACCTCAGTCACTAAAGACAAACAATCACAATAACACACAGGCATTATTGATTTGACAACTCGACGAATAAGCAGTGATCGTAAATGGTATATTGCCTAATCTACAGTAATACACATATATTTAACTCTATGCATTACATTAATGCACAACAATATTTTGTATTACTGCCGATTTCTATTCCATATTTTATTCCATTGCAATGTAAATACTGTTATATTTTTAATATATATTTTTTAATTCTTGTTTTTATGCACCACAACCTCAAGTCAAATTCCTCGTGCGTGTAAACCTACCTGGTAATAAACCTGTTTCTGATTTGGCAGATGCAAAAAACAAGTACAAAGACACAATAACAGATATGAAGCTCAGCGCACGTTCAACCAGGATGACCTTTTACTCATTCATTTACTATGCTACGTTTCTACTCTCTCTCCTCTCAATAAGTGATCGGGGGCGTCACTCCCCAGCTTAACCAATCACTTCGCTCTATTCTGACAAGCCTATCATAGCGCTCCGCTAACTCTTTTAAATTAGCTCTCCCCCCTCTGTCAGCTGTCATTTCAGGTGACTCAACGCAACCCTCCTCCAGCCCTTTTCACCGTCCTGTCCCTCCGAATCCAGGTCAAGCTAAGCCCCTCCCCTTCAGACCGAACCCAACTATCCATTCACCACCACCAGGGTCTAGACCCCGGGGGGGTTTCATCGGATCGGAGTTTTCCCCTCCCGAATGTTACTCCTGCACAACGGGGCCTAACATTACATTCATTTGTGTATTCCTGGCAATAAATATGTATTCTTACATCAAAACCGTCTCTCCTGATTGAAAAACGATTGTCCAACGTTGAGGGATCTTTTTGACTTTTTGAAGTGGGTTGTATATCTCTAGTCAATGTATTGCAGTTAATTGGGGTAATTGGCAAGGAGAATGAGCAACGAACTGCCGTGGTGGGGGCAACATTAAAACTTATTTTAAATATAAGTTTAAGTGTACGCAGAATGTCAAATATTTTCACTGCTTTACCTTGCAGTTTTTCAATTATGAAACACACAAACCTACAAAACACACTACAGGAAAGAGAAAACTCAAAAAAGTTATCTATGCTGTGTTCAAAGCAGCCAGACAAAAACAGTAATATTAACTCCCACATGGTAACAGTTCATATTCACTGTTCGGAACATGGTTGTGGTGATAGATGATGACACGCTTCCTATGGTGTTATGAACTGTCTACATTTACGTCTAACTTCCTGAAAGGGTGTGATGTAAAGAATTATAAAAAACAAAAACTATACCTGCTGCAACATCACTGATATCCCAAACCCTCAAGCCTTCCTTCTGCCCTCCGAAGGCGTAGACGAAGGGGTGATCAGGGCAACACGACGCACAGAACAGCACACCCTGTTGGAAAGGAAGTCATTATTATTTATTTTAAAACCTCAACATTCTCTATGGCAGGATATAGTCTCGAATGTAGGTTGGGCTACAAGGGATGCGAGAAGCAAGTTATCCCATTATAAAATTGTGCATAGATATTATGTTACACCCCTGAAATTGTTTTAAAATGGGCTTAACTCAGGAGAATAAATGTTGGAAATGTAATAGAGAAGTGGGCACATTCCGTCATGCTCTATGGGATTGCCCAAGGGTACTGCCTTTTCGGAAGGTGGTGTTAAAAAACCTTGAAGGGTGGCTCAGAAAACCTCTACCAGAATCGCCACAGCTCTGTTTGCTAGGGGACAAGTCTCTTGTGCCACCAGGCAGGCCGTTTCTTCCTATAGGCGGACTATGCAGATGCGCTGCCGCCTAGTGGCCGCGGGGGGGGGGGGCCCCCAAGCTGAAAATTCAGGTTCAGCCTCAATATATTTGGGGAGAATTAAAATTAGCCGTCTTTATGAAGACAGCCAAGCCCCCTCCTGTGTTCGGTGAAGCATTATATGCTGACATATCTAATGTAGGATATACCAACTGGAAGAGCCCACATAAGGGTGCATTGTCCTAGGGAGGGTACAGGGTACAGGAAGTATATCTGTATATGTGTAGATCAGCGGTTCTCAAACTGTGGTCCACTGCAGGTGGTCCGAAAAAAAAAAAAAAAAGGTAAATAAAATCCACTTTTTATTATCAAGGATTTTTGCAGACCACCTCATATGCAAACTGTAAAAATAAGTACATATATATACGTAGTGTTACAAAGCAGATATTTGTTATTGTTAATTATGGACAACACTTAAATTACACCACTGGTTACCCATGGTTACGTGTGCAACACCACAAACATGGATCGGTGGCTAGCATCAGGTTCTCTGAAGAGAAAAGAGGTTAAAGGTGGGGTAGGTAAGTTTCAGAAACCGGCTCGAGTGCACTCAAATTTGAAAGTACACAGCCGAAAAGAATCCGCTCCTTCCTTCAGACTTCCTCACAGAGCACCTCCTCCAACACACATGAACGTGACGTCAGCAGACTGGTGAAAGTGGCCACCTGTTGCTGGCGAGTCATTGAAGTACTGCTGCAATGCACGCCCAATGACGGCACGGCCAATGACGGCACGCCCAATGACGGCACGCCCAATGAGGGCACGAGATACATTTGTGCGTGCACGAGATGGAAGGCTGACAGACAGGGCGGCAATCCAATCCGTTTAGCCGTTGTGCTTTTTACAGCACCACGGCTTCCACAGATGACATTTTTTTATGGATTTTTTGTCAAAGCACTTCAGATATTCATTGCTATCGGGATGTTAAGAGCATTCCATGGAATATAACAAAAAGTGTATCTCGAGCCGGTTTCTGAAACTTACCTACCCCAGCTTTAACGTTAATGAAGATAATGAGAGTGAGTCGGATGCATCTATAAGCCGGATTCCGCAGAATAAAACAAAGAAGATTAAGAGAAAGTACAATGGGAACTACTTGGAAGTGGGATTTACCTACACAGGCACTGAAGATGAGCCTTTGCCCGTATGCGTTCTGTGCCACGAGACACTGGCTAACGGGAGCCTAAAGCCAGCTAATCTTCGCCGTCCATCTTGGAATCCGGCTTATAGATGCATCCGACTCACTCTCATTATCCTCTTTTCTCTTCAGAGAACCTGATGCTAGCCACCGATCTATGTTTGT